ATCTTAGTCAAACTTCTAGTTTACACATAAAAAAAGGATAAAGTTTATGCTGTGTGCCCTTTGTTTCTGCATCAGAAAATTTGTATAGGAAAAATGGCCATTTACAGTAGCGGTATATTTTCTTCAAAAGAATGTAAATAAGAATTTCGGTATTTCTGTTGGTAGGATACTTTATCAACTAAAATCGGAACTGGCACAACAACAACGGTCAACTGGACAGGATCAGCAAGTGAAAACTTGCTTCAGTTTGATGGAGGATATGAAATAACATTGCTACCTGGTGGGATGTACATGGGATATCCATCAGACATTAGCAAATCTGTTTCCCAATTAGATTCTTTTCATTTCGAGTTTTGTTGGATGGAATCACCTGGAAAGAGGCAGCGGCTTGTCCGAACTTACGATTCAGCTGGTTTGGCTGTTTCATCGACCTATTATTTTGAAACCAAAGTATGAGTCACAGCTTCTACAAAATGTATTGCAACAATTTTGTAAGCCATCCAGTAATGTCACTATCTGTGTTCTTCAGTGCATGATACTTGACTATATCAGCATGTTCGCTTATTAGTTTCAGCTAGGGCTTATCAGCCAGCCAACAGTGTTTTTCTCTCACAACAAACCAGCACCAGTCGGACTTATCAGCCCAGAAACCACCCAGCGAACAGGCTCTATGTTGTCAGATATTTCTATATCCAAAAGCCAGAATTTATGAACCAAACGGCATATTCTTGTTTTGCTCAAATTCTACTGTTTGTGTTGCATTCGTCTCTATGATAACAAAGGAACAGTGGAAAATCAAAATTAGCACACTAACTTCTCACAAGCATATCACTGAGCACCTTGTGTGAATAAATAAAAAATATCACCTAAACTTGAATCCATCAAACCGCAAGCTGTCCAAACTTCCAACATATGTCCTATTGGCTTAGCTTATAAGTCGTATTTTTTCAGTCAACGAACAATATTTTTTTCTCATAGCAAATCAGCCAACAACCATGGTTTATTAGCCAAGCGAACAGGGCTATTCTGGTAGTGGGAATCACAAAAATCAATGGCTCAAGCCGCAACGTCTCCCTCGCGGGCGACGTACGTACGCAACCCGCCGCCGCCCCAAATCCTCCGCCGCCCGAGCACCACCTCCCAGATCCGGTCAGCCCCTGCACCCTCTGACACTCCACGAAGCCCAGACAGCCCTTGTAGCCCCGCAGCAACCCCGAGCGGAGCAGATCTGGCTCGCTCTCCGCTCGACACACCGCCGTCGCCACCGCCGATCTACACCCGTCGCCCGAAGCCGGACGACGACCTGGTGGTTCCTGCCACGTCGGAGTCCACGTCGGCAAGGCCCAAGAAGCTCTCCTTCGCTGAGGTGGTCAAAATCGGAGCGACTGCATTCGATCAGGAGGACAGGCCTCACCAACCTCAGCACCGGCACCTCGATGTTAGCACCCAAGGTGCTGAAACTAACAGAATACAGGAAGAACAGATTCGGAAGTAAGCTACTAGGAATGATTAAAACTGAAATTGAGTTTTTACATCTCTGTTCATGTCCTTATCTCTCAATCCTCTTACTACTTATACATCGTATCCTAGTTCATCCAAGATGGGGCCGGTCACCCGCGAGCTGGGCTTCGTGATTCTCTTGGGCCTGACTGGAAGTGGGCCGGAAGGCGAGCTTGAAGTGCTGTCATCTTGATCAGGTGCCGCCGGGCAGAGCGGTGACATTCCCGGGTCTTTGAGTGGCATGTCCCGAGCCAACAAGACGCTGAAGCTGGCTTTGGCGCAAGGTGACCAGCGGCTCCCAGGTAGCCAACTCCGGTGGAGTATGGGACCACTGAATGAGACCTTGCTCCATGGGATGATCTCTCGGAAGTCCAGCGACGCTGAAGAACACGTAGTGGCACTTGGAAGGTTTGCAAGTTAGAAGGCAAGGCAGAAGATACCTGGTGAGTTCCAGGCGACAGCTTCAGCTGGGACACATGAAACACCGGGTGTATCGAGGAGGATGGTGGTAACTCCAATTTGTAGGCTACTGAACCAATCTTCTCGAGAATGTTGAAAGGCCCAAAGAAACGAAATGACAGCTTGTGGTTTGATCTGCGGAACAGAGAAGATTGAACATATGGCTGGAGCTTCAAGAACACTTTGTCACCGACTGAGAACACCCGCTCTGATCGACCCTTGTCAGCTTGACGCTTCATGCGTTCCTGAGCACGCAACAAATGCTGTTGGATAAGCTCCTGCATAAGCCTGCGACCAGCCAGCCAAGATGCCAGATCTGGAATAGGAGCCACCGATTCCACATCCAGTCCCATGTGTCGAGGTGGAACTCCATACATGACCTCGAAGGGGGACTTGCCCAATGCGGAATGGAATGATGTATTATACCAATACTCCGCAAGGGACAGCCAACGTTGCCACTGTGAAGGGCAAGAATGAGCAATATAGCGGAGGAAGGTTTCGAGGCATTGATTTACCCGTTCGGTTTGGCCATCGGTCTGTGGGTGATAAGATGAGCTTAGGCGGAGAGAAGTACTAGCTGCCTTAAATAGAGCCTGCCAAAACTGGCTGGTGAAAATTTTGTCGCGATCAGAGATGATAGAAGTGGGCAGACCATGTAGGCGATAAACATTGTCAAGGAACAGCTGAGCCACCGTCTTGGCCGTGAAGGGGTGCTTCAAGGCGATGAAATGAGCGAATTTAGAAAACTTGTCAACAATGACTAAGATTGCGTTGGCAGCTCCTGATGATGGAAGGCCCTCAACAAAATCCATGGAAATGATCTCCCAAGAGGTCTGAGGAACCGGCAGAGGCTGCGGCAGTCCTGGGTAACGAGCACGGTCCGGTTTAGCCTGCAAGCAAACTGAACAGGACTGCACCAGGTGCCAGACATCGGCTTTCATGCCCCTCTAGAAGAAGAGACGCTTCAGTCTGGAGTAGGTAGCTGGTGCACCGGAATGACCCCCCATCGGACTAGCATGAAAGGCTGTCAAGACTTGCTGATCCCAGCCAAATACGCCCCTTGTAGCGAATCACACCTTGAACCAGAGAGTATGGGGGAACAGACTCCGGGTTGATAGCCAATTGAGACAACAGCTTGGTAGCCTCCACATCAACTTGATAGCTAAGCACCACTGCCTCTAACCACTGATGGGTGATAGAAGATATAGCCATGAGTTGCTCGAGATGGCGACGCTGAGACAAGGCATCAACAGCCCCATTCTCAGTGCCTTTCTTGTAGATGATCTTGTACTGGAGGCCCATGAGGCGAGCAAACACCTTCTACTGCCATGCGGTATGAAGGCGTTGATCATTGAGGTGTGTTAAACTTTGATGATCGGTGTGAATATAAAACTCGGCCTGGAGTAGGTAATGGCGCTACTGATCCACTGCCAACAAGATTGCCAAATATTCCTTCTCGTAGACAGTGAGGCCTTGATTCCTCTTGCTAAGTGGTTTGATAATGAAGGCAATTGGATGACCCTCCTGCTGTAGCACAGCTCCAATTTCAGAACCCGAAGCATCAGTCTCGATGTGGAAAGGCTTGTTAAAATCTAGAAGAGCTAATACTGGTGCTGAACATAGAGCAGCTTTGAGCAGATCAAAAGCTTCAGCATGAGCAGGAGTCCACACAAAGATTTTATCCTTCTTGAGCAATTCAGTGAGGGGCTTAGCAAGAATACCGAAATGTTTGACGAATTTGCGGTAATAGCCTACCAGGCCGAGAAATCTACGGAGCTCCCTGTTGTTGGAGGGTACTGGCCAATCAACAACAGCGCGGATCTTCGCAGGATCAGTAGACAGGCCAGCTGCACTAATCACGTGGCCGAGGTAAGAGATGGACTGACGAGCAAAGCTGCATTTGGACTGTTTGAGCTTCCACTGGTCACGGCGTAGCCAGTCAAAGACTTGTTGCAGATGGAATATATGAGCCTCAAAGGAAGGACTGAACACTAGTATGTCATCAAAAAAGACAATGACGAACTTGCGTAGTCCTGGAGCAAGGGTAGCGTTCATGGCGACCTGGAATGTTCCTGGTGCTCCTGTGAGTCCGAAGGCCATCACTCGGAACTCGTACTGGCCTAGGTGGGTTTGGAAGGCCGTTTTAAACTCTTCTCCTTCACGCAACAGAATCTGATGGAAGCCAGTCCGAAGGTCCAGGGTAGAAAACCAGCGGGCATTGGCAAGTTCATCCATCAGTTGGTCGAAGACCGGGACAGGAAACTTGGACTTCAAGGTCAAAGCATTGAGGTGACAAAAATCCACACAAAAGCGATAGCCACCATCCTTTTTACGGACCAGGAGCACCGGAGAAGAAAAGGAGCTATGGCTGTGCCGAATCAACCCTTGTGATAACATTTCTTGGACTTGTTTCTCAATCTCGTCCTTAAGCTTGGGTGGGTACCGATACGGTCTCACCATGACAGGAGCTGCTCTAGGAATCAGAGGAATTTCATGATCACAGGCTCGGGAAGGTGGCAAGGAAGTGGGTGGCTCGAACAAATCCGAATAAGTATCCAACAACGACTGTATCTCAACCAGCAACGGCTGCAAATCCTGTTCAGCGCTCTCAGCAGCATCTAGGGAAGCAATGTGGAGCAATAGTTGCTGAGGAAATGCAGTTGGAAGCCCCTGCAACACAGTGATCTGCCCCTTGTATGGTAGCGCCATCCACTTTTCCTGCCAATGAATCTGCATGGGACTGTGAGCTGCTAACCAATCCATTCCAATCACCACATCAAAGGTACCCAGTGGTAGCACCCTGAAATCAGACTGAAACGAGCAAGCACCCACTGACCAAGGCACTTGAAGCAGAACTGCTGAGGTGGTGAGCTGAGTTCCACCAGCGACCAATACAGAGCTATAGACTGGGATTGAAACCACACTGGACAAGCGAGGAACCAATGCTTGATTCACAAAAGATGAGGAGCTGCCTGAGTCGACCAGGATCTGCACTGGAATTGACTGTAAGAAGCCGGCGAAGCAAATCGAGCGAGCAACTGTCACACCGGAAAGGCAGACTTGGAGAGGGCTAAGCAACACTGCTCCGAAGGTGGAAATTCCTCAACAGAGTCAGCCAACGAATCTTCTGAAGAAAATGACTCCCAGAGAGCGACTGCATGCAGGACCTCTGGAGCATAGACATGGTCCTTACTCCACTTGGCATTGCATTTGAAACAAAGTCCCAGAGCCCGCCGATACGCCTTGACAGCTGCCATAGTTTGAGTGGTGGTCTGAACATTCGCCCCAACCGAAGCAGCAGCAATTGGGGCCACCGCCTTGTCAGCCCGTGGTGGAGGCTGGGGCAGCGGCAGAGGAGATGCTGCAGCCGCTGGTAATCTGGGCTGAACAGCAGTCGACCAATCACCTCCACGCTGGACTCGCAGATTAGGAGCCGTGGCCACCTCTTCCTGCAGTAAAGCGAGACGAACAACAGCATCGAAAGTTTGGGGACGCTGAACAAGAATAACTGCTCGAATGTCGGAGCGAAGTCCATCAATGAAACACTGAGTATAGAATAGTGGGTCGGCACGAGGCGAATAAGAAATAAGCTGATCAACTAACTGAGAAAATGCAGTGACATAAGCTGAGACCGAAGTATGCTGACGGATACTGAACATTTGACGCAGGAGATGCTCATGCTGATCACGATCGAATCGTTCGTGAAGCATTTGACAGAAGGATTCCCAAGTGGCCGAGGGAAGCTGGGGAGCGATAGATTGGTACCAAATCGCTGCTGGACCCTCCATGTAGTGTTCAACTAAACTAATCCAGATAGAGGGATCTACAACACAGGTGAGGAAATACTTTTCACAGAGGGAACGCCAACGTTTCGGATTGACCCCATCGAACGTTGGAAATGGAAGTTTGGCGGTGGAACTCAGGGTAAGGAGGGTAATGCTGGGGATGGAGTGGTCTGTGCTGAAAATTGGGATGGGATAATGGAGGGGGTGATATAGATGGGAAGGTGGATGGTGAACGGGATCAGGCGCTGGACGCGGATGAAAGATGGCAGGCGGCGGACGAAAATCAGGTACAAAATGATGAGAGTGATGTTCAGGAAGCATACCATTGGCCGGGACATGGGTCCAAGTCGTAACGACTCCGGACCCAGCATCCCGTGGAGTGAGGTCGACGCGGTGCCCGCTGGGCGGTGTGGCGTGCAGACCGGTTGCTTGAGCCAACGCAGTCGCCGCCGGTGGTGAATGCAGTACGACCGACCGGTGAGACGAATCGTCGAACACCTGGCGGTCGAGTGTCTGCACCAGCTTCGGGACGTCCTTGTGGATGTCACCCAGGACGGCATCCACGCCTGGGCGCCGCGCTTCTGGATCCGCCGAGACCTTCTCGAACGCGACCGCCCGTGGATCGAACTCCGGCTTGACTGGCACGTCGGTGCGAGGCTCCAGAGTGGTGTGGCGGTGGCCGGAACCGACGGCGAAGGAGGCTTCAAGGGAGGTGAGGCGCTGCTCGACGGACACAGACACCGGATCCGGAAGCCGCGACTCGATCCCCTCGAAGCCCTTCTCGAGTCCGATAGCTTGGGTGGAGATGGAGGTTTCCAGGGTGGCGAAATGGGAGTCGACGGAGCCGGTGCGGTCAGCGAAGGCACGGTCGCGGTCGTCGAGACGGCGGTCGAACTCGTCGAAGCGGGCGTTGAGCGCGTCGAGGATTTGCTTCAAGGACGGCTCCATGGCGCCGCGAGCGCGATTGAGCCGGGTGTAGTGGTGGTGCTGAGTTGGGGGCGGCGGAAGAGGGGGTGGCGGTGGTGCAGACTTGGCCAGGATTGGAACGAGACGTCTGATACCAGGTGTTAGCACCCAAGGTGCTGAAGCTAACAGAATACATGAAGAACAGATTTTGAAGTAAGCTACTAGGAATGATTAAAACTGAAATTGAGTTTTTACATCTCTGTTTATGTCCTTCTCTCTCAATCCTCTTACTACTTATACATCGTATCCTAGTTCATCCAAGATGGCCGGTCACCCGCGAGTTGGGCTTCGTGATTCTCTTGGGCCTGACTGGAAGTGGGCCGGAAGGCGAGCTTGAAGTGCTGTCATCTTGATCAGTTGCCGCCGGGCCAGAGCAGCTGACACTCGAATCCGTCATCACCGTTCCCAGGAGGAGCACTTACTCCAGCCGCGCTACAGCAGAGGCCTCGTCACATTGCCGCGCGGCCGGCCCTTGCAATCCGTTATGTCGCAACTCGGCGCCCAAGATGGGCACTTGTTACAAGCGCGTCTCCGCCATGGCCTCGCCCTCTCGCCGCGGAGCTCGTACTGGCAAGCCGTCGCATCACAGCTCGACTGGCTACCAGCGGAAATTGCAGTGGGAGAGTCGCTGCTCAAAATGATTCAATTCACCAGAGCCGGGCTGGAACGAGGTACGAAGAAAATATTGGTGGCGGAATTCAAGTCCCTCGCCAACCACCCGACGCCCAGGGCCACTTCGCCGCGAAGTGCATTCAAACGAAGCAAGGCCCCAAGCCTCCTTCGCTCTCAGAGTGTTCCGTAGCAAAACGGACGGGAGATGCTTCGCGTGTCTTGCGCCTGACCACAGAGCTGCCTATTGCCGAGATCCATGTTTGACGAGATTTTGTACAAAATTTAACTAGTATGCATGTACATCTATACGTGCTACTGAAAATAATAATAAAGGAAAAAAACATGAATCAAGTTGCATTGGGCCGTGATGAGCTAATGCATAGTGCGCATGTTTATTTACGTGTGCTGGAGAAGAGAAGCTAACAGGCATAGCCATATACGTGTGCCTGTATAAGAGCTGAACCGGCTGTAGAGTTCGTATGTACGCCGGTCTGTGTCGTGGATTGTACATCAACTGAGCCTGCGAGACAGTCAGCCCGATGAGGTCCAGAACCTTCTGGAACCTTGGCCAGATATACGCGCGACCGGCAGGTTAATGACTTGATCAACGGGAAGGCTTTATCCCTTCATCATCCCAGGCCCATGCGTCAGGGAACAAGATACGTCCACGAGCCCATCCAAGTAATCGAAAGCCTCTAGAAGGTAATTATTCCAGATGAATGAATCACGTGGTCTTATCTTGTTGGCAAGCAAAGGGCCTGGGGCTCGGTGCGGATACAAACCAAGTCGATCGCAAAGGCAGCCGGCGGCGCGGCGCCAGGAGGTTGATTGCAGACGTACGCGCCGCCGGCCAGAGGGCTGCAGACGTGCTGCTGCGCCGAGGGGCATGGAGATGATCATCCACTTCATCATCAGGAAGAGACGGAGGCAACCTTGCCTCGGCATCGCGCCATGTATCCAGGGGCTCGCTCCGGGGGCGCTGGTCATCTACGTCAGGAAGGAGGTCCGGCTAATCACCGGCCGGAGCGATGCCCCTCTCGTCATCACGACGCAATCAAACAAGGCAAGTTCATCACTTGCGCCGCCGGAGCCGGAGTCCATCTGCTGTGCGCCAAGCAAATAAGAAGGCAGCCACGCCCGAGGAGACGCTCCGTCGACGGGCGCCCGCCGAGACGGAGGACACGACCCGACGCAGCACGAACGACGAGTTACCCGGATCAGCGCCGGCGGCTTGGGCTCGCATCTACTAGGGAGTTCATCGAGTCTTCATCGACCTCCTGGCATCTACCACGGACAGGAGGACGGCTGGCTGATCACGCGTGCCGGCAAGCTGCCTTCGGTATCCACCAACGTTGACGCAACGTCGTCGACTTGCTCTGCAGCCGGAGGAGACGCCCCGACGCCTGACGAGCACCATCGAGCAGGGCTCCATTACCGATGAATGACGTGTCTAGGAGGCGAGCCTACTCCAACGACGACGACGTGCTGAGATGGCGAGCCCACACACACATCGTCGACCACGGCTAGACGTACGTGGGCTGCTGCATGCTTGATGTGAAGCTAGCCTGGAGGTGGGTTGGCACTCGGCAGTGGCACATGAGCATAAGCCTTTGTCTGCTTAACTACTGCCAAGCTGCATGTGTACATGTATATACGTGTATATGCGTGCGCTTGAATTACTGCTAATAAGAGACATGTGCATATGCACGTACTAACTGTATGAAACACAAGCAAACCAATCTGTATAATTCTATCTTATGTCTAGCAGGTAAAGCTGTAGGGGCACCCGGGCCACGTAGCACCACTTTGCAGCGCTCGACACCGGCGAGGCAGGATGACGCGCGGGTGGGCGGCTACACTACGCTCTGTTCGACACCGACGAGGCGGATGGCTACGGGCTGATGAGACCTTCTTCAACAACAACGACTTCTACGATCAAGTTCCACAGCGTGCCACGACGATGCCGACGATGCTGCCGAAGGAGTCCAAAGCGATCCAAGCTACACCAACCATGCAAGTGCGATTGCGACGAGACGAACGACGCTGGCGGGCATGGCTGATATTTCAGCCATGTTGTACCGGCTCATGGACCGATGAGGCTCTTACGTCAACACCACCCACATCTACACCAACACCATGCATGGAGGAGTGAAGCAAGATCGACGACGATGACCACATCAGCTTAATCGGAGGTACTCTGTGAGCTAGCTCACAAGGGTAATTAACTGGGAGCTTTCCGAAGACCACATCACACAGTCAGATCACCGCCAGCAGGCTAGGGAGCGCACATTCGTATGAGAGACCGATATTTGTATTTTTATTAAATATGAATAAAGGGTATTCCCTCTTATTTCTTTATTTTTGTGTACTTTAGTACACTAGCAGACCCACGTATTTATTTTCTTTGTAGCAGAAAAATATTACAATCCAGTGCGTTGCTTCCGCTGCCGACGTTCAGGCCACCGGGAGCGTGACTGCCGGGAGGCGTCTACGAGCAAGCAAGCCACTGCAACCCCCTCCACCCCAGAGGGACGACGCTCTCCCACCGCCGCCTCCACCTTCGACCTCGACTGCCATGGCGATGCTGGTGATCCGGCCACCCGCCCGGATGAGGATGAATGTCTCATCCCAACCTCCTACGCCCTAGACGCGAGTCTGCGTGAATGGGAGGACACTGCGGCGGTGTCCTGGGCCATGACGGCCCCGCCAGGCACGGGCCCTAAGGAGGTCGAGGCGGCGATATGCGACGAGTTCAGGCTCCGCCATGGCGAGGTCACCGTCACCAGGCACTTCCCGGAGACTTTCCTCGTCAAGTTCGAGCATCGCCACCACTGCGCCCAGGCCCTCAAGCAAGGCTTCGCCAAGCGCTACGGCATCCACATCCACTTCATCAAATGGCGCAGCCTCAAGAACGCCCTGGCCGTCACCTTGCTGTTCAGGGTCAAGCTCTGCCTCGACGGCATCCCGAACTATGCCTGGGATGCGAAGATTGTGGAGCGTATCATCGGCAGGCGCTGCGCTCTAGAGACCATCGAAACCAACCTTCTGCATCCGGCTGAGACGAAGACGGTGGACCTGTGTGCTTGGACTGCAAACCCAAGCCTCATCCCCAAGAAGGTCTGGCTAACCTTCACCAGTCGTGCCAAGGATCCCGTTCTAGCATCCATAGTGGTGTCGGAGACGACGCCGGAACACTGGCAGCATGGGCGCAAGCACGGTGCCATCATCCACCTTGAAGAAATTCATGACTACACCGTGTCCACCGTCGACAGCAACAGCAAATTCTCCCCTGGTAAGCGTCGCCTCCCAGATTGGCATTTGGGTGTGATTGATGGTCATCAGGTGCCGCCGCGAGCTTTTGAGGAATTCCCACACCACCCGCCACCACCAGCGTGCCAACCGTGGCAACAATGAACGCGGTGGTGGCAGCAAGGCAGAGCGACGTCATGATGGTCGCGGATCCAAGAGCAAGTACAACAACGACCATCCGGGCTATGACCTCGGTCACAGCCGTAGGCGCCACGACGACGACGACGACCGACGACGACCGCGGCCATGGGGGTCGCGACGCTCGTGGGCGCGGCCGCGACTTCCGGGACCGCTACAAGGATGACGCCCCAGTGTACCGCGAGCGCTCCCGCTCGCCCCGCAATCGAGTGTGGGGACATGGTGGGGACACAGAGAGCGTCAACAAGATGGGCTCAAGGCGCCTGAAGACCTTCCAGAGGCACTGCCCCAGATGAACCATCTGCAGAATGTGCAGAGCTGCAAGCTTCAGGAACTGTTCAGGGTCCATGCTGCAGCGCTTCAAGACGCCATGCAGCGCATCATCAGCTGGCCGGGCGGTGAGAAGGCAGTCCAAGGCTTCACGGAATCACGACATCCATGCAAGCGCTCCTCAACGACTACATCAACAAAGCCTGCACGCTGGCTGCCAACCTGGGGCTGTTGGAGGCGCCCCCAGCGAACGGCGGCTCTGGCTCTGGAGTCACTGCTGGGGCTAAACCACCCAATGGGAATGAAGCCTCGTCCGCCCCACCCAAGCATGCTGCGCCGGCCACTACTGTCCCGATGTCCAACATCTTAGCACGCCTTCTTCGGGACATTCCGGGCTTCCGGCACAAGGCGCAACGACAACAATCCTGCCAGCAGTTGAGTGCTCCATCGACACGGTCCTGCCGGCAGTGGAGTGCTCCATTGACGCGGTGGACCAGGCTCTACAGCAGTTGCAGCTTCAACCGACAGGGGCAACTGCGCCTGCCCCTCCAACCATCAACATGCAGCAGACACCAGAGCCTACCTCACCGATGGTCAACTTGCAGGCAGCGAGCTTCCAGGCCATCTTTGCAGGTCTGAATGTTCAAAATGCT